AGATTCTCCACAAGGATAACTTTGAAATCTCGTGAGAGTTTTACTATATTCTACATCAGGGGTTCTTAAATTGTGGGATACACTCCCTTGGAGGGGTACAAAATGTTAATTTTAGGGAGGGCAAATAAAGAAACATCTGTTTGATATCCTGTAAGAGTTATTTACTTTGAAAGACTGTGACAGCTTGAATTTTGCTGAATGTTTACTTTCAATGTGATTGCCTTATCTGAATTTCCGACAATCTCAGTCTAGCCTGTATGACGGGCTAAGTCTCTGCTTATAGTAGCCTTACTCTAGCAGTTGTCACGTCTTTATAGTCTCCTATATTTCACATTATATTCTCAATGCCAAACCTCTCATCCAGTCAAGTGTGTTGTGAACTTGTGTACATACATGGTGTACTGACATCTAACATCAGAAAATGTTTCTGCCACTATCTCAGCAACAAGTACTAGAGAAGAATCAAATATTACTGCATGAAGTATTAGAGCTGGAGAATTTAACAGCAGAAAGAAGAGGCAATATCAAGAAAATTATCTTGAACACGGATTTATTTATTTCACCACTGACAGTGAGCGAACTCACAATATTTACTTTGCTCTGAAATATTGGCTAATGATAGTACACAACATGGAAAATTGAAGAGACATATGGCTACAAAGATTCACAGTTTAAAAACAAGCCTACCGAGTTTCTTCAGAGGAAACTGAAAAGCCTCTGCCAGAAGTAAGTTGAATGAACAACACACAATACAAAAAAAGATACTCCAAGCATCACAAGAGGGATCACAATCATAAAACCAAAAAGCCTCACAAAAGGAGTGAGTCCCTTATCATGCCTGAGGCAATTAAAATAACAGATATATTGCAAGGCAAGAAGCATGCCAATGAACTCAAATTCATGCCTCCAGCAAAACCACTGTTGGTAAGCAAATAAGGGAAATCTGTGATGACACAAGTGAACAGCTGTTAGAAAAATTAAAAAAAAAAAGGCCCACATTTGCAACTCGACTTGACTCAACCAACATCTCCAATTTAGGACAACCTCCTATGTATCATGCCCCGGGAGACCTACAGTTTTGCCAGCCACTGGAAGGAAGAACTACATGTAAAGACATTTTTGCAAAATCAAATGTATTCTTCACAGCATATGAAGTGTCGTAGACTAACTGTGTTGCTTCATGTACAGGTGACACTGCTGAAATGACAGACAAGGAACAAAGGCTCTTAGGCCAAACAACAAAAAATTTTAATAATGCTGCTGCATCATTCATAAAGAAGCAGTGGATGCTACGAAACTGTCTCCTGAACTTAATGAAGACTTATAAGAAAGAGTTACTGTACTGAATTTCATTAGCAGCCTGATGCTAAATTTGCAGCTCTTTTAAAACTCTGTAGCTATGGGATTCAACCATGATGAACGCCTTCACATGGAGATTGGATAATCGAGAGGAAGAATGTTGCAAAGATTGACGAACTGAAAAAAGGGAAATTATTTTTGACGGAAATAAACCCAAGCTGTACCACAAAAGAAAAAAACAGACTATGCAGCCTTTCTTACATGAGATTTTTAACTCAGTGAGTTATATACATTTCTCCAAGACGAAAATGCTAATGAATGATTAATTTCTCAATCTGAAAACAAAACTGTGTAAGCTGAAAGAGTGATACGTTTTCACAGCTAAGTGATTCCACTGAATAAATTGAAATGGGTCTGGCAGTCATTAACCCGTTACCCTCACACATCTAACCACCTAGGTAAACCAGTTAGAGAAATATTTTCCTACTGACTGGGATATAGCAAAACATAACTGCATAAGCCAGCGTTTCAATATAAACATCAGAGGAAACACAACACCTTTCACTGACTGTCCAGAAAAAAGTTAGCTGAACTGTCGAGTGATAGGATTCTTCAACTGGTATTACAGAATAAAAATGTATGACTCTGGGTAACGTTTAGAAATGAATAACTGGTCGTGGCAGAATTAGCAATTCATCTTCTCTTGGTGTTTGCAGCATCTTATCTCCATGAATTAGAGTTGTTTGTCTTAATATACATTAAGCCTAAGTGTCAGACACACCTTGTGAATGTCAAGGATCATCTTAGGGCAGGATTATAGAACACTGAAAAGAGATTCAAAATCTGTCTTCATAGATGTAGGTGTAAGCACCTCATTAAGGAGGTAACTATTTGACACATTTACATTTACACCACCTATGGGTTCCTGTTACTTATTTTTAGTATTGCTTTTGTGTTGTGTAACAATACAACCACTGACCTGGCCATTATAAAGCAATCTGGTGATATAATGGGGGGGAAAAAGGGCAATAAAGTTTGGATTACTAAAAGGGGAGGGGGCATAAAAAAGTTTAAGAACCCTTTCTACATTTAACTCTAGAAAATTCTAGTAAAAAGAAGCGGTACTTCACTGATCTCAGAATGCCACTAAAGAATTTTACAGCTTGTATGCATCACTGATGTTCAACAGTCATCCGTTACCAATATTCAGAATCCAAAATAATTGTGTTCAACTAAAGAGAATTCAATAATGAAAACCTATTATTCACTATTTGAGACGTAAAGTGAATATTCACCAATCAATGAAGCAGAGAAACTGGTATATATGCATAATTATAAGAATGCCAGCGATAACTGCAAATATGGTGTGTGTGCGTACATACAAGGTCTGGCAAATAAGTTTCAAGGCTCGTTTCTAACATCACACCAGGCGATCTAGCAACACTGTTGCCTGGAATGTCAAGTGACTTAACAAGACAGAACCCACATTCAAATTCTGGACAAGCTGTGTTCAGTATTCGCTGCACAGTAGCACGTCAGAGCATTGTGTGTCATCAAAATTTTCCAGATGTGAAAATGGAAAGTATGACTGGACAGCGAACGTGAATTTTAGTAATGAACTGCAGAAATTGGCAAGTGAAATGCTACTGATGCTAAAAACAGTTTATGGTGAATACCCAGGCCAGAGAAGTCAAAGTCTAACACCAAAAACTGTTGAGGAATGCCGTCTTTTGGGATGCGGTGCCATGTAGATCTTGTGGAAGTGACATTTCGGAGGAACATCACATAAGACGGCATTCTTCATAGAGACGGCTGTGAAAACCTCAAATTCTACAAAAAATAAAATGTTCATTTGTTTTTCAAACAGAGGGGTATCATCTATTTTGAATCTGTACCCGAAGGGACCACTGTTAATCACACATTCCATGTGAAGATGCTGAAAAGGCTTATTGATGCTGTGAGGCGCATGCGAGGAGAGTTGTGGACAGATCGCTCACTGATTCATCACAACATGCCAGCTCATTCTTGGCTTCAGAGTATTGCAGTATTTAGCAGGAAAAGGCACAGATCTTCCACCATACTCTCCTTACTTGGCTCCAGCCGACCTCTGGCTGCTTCCAGAACTCAAGAATGTGCTGAAAGGAAAGCGTTTCTTGGACAGTGAGGACACTAAATCATCTGTGAAAAAAAAAATGATACACGGTGTATCCAGGATTCGTTAGGACTCTTTTTTTTTTAATTTTGTCCTGCAATGCCATCTACTGGCGAGTTGCGGCATTAAGAATCTTGAAGTTTCAACTGTGGCTGTCTATAATTTCAAAGCGCAAGCATCGCTGCATCATGTGTTCCGACCCTGTATGTAACAGTACTGTTCTGACGCTCGCCGGACAGTGGCGGTTGAACAGAGAGCCAACATAAAATATTGTTTGAAGTCAGGCAAAAGAGCCGGAGAAGCATATGAAATTATGGAAAGCGTGTACGATAATGATTGTTTGAGTCGCTCAAACATTTTTCGATGGTATGCTGTATTTCGTGACGGCAAGGGGCAAATTGAAGACACTCCACGTGCATCAAAGCCAAGAACAAGTCGCACTGAAGAAAATGTGAAAAAAGAGAGCGAAATCCTTGCAGCAGACAGATGTGTTTCTGCAAGACTCATCGAGGAGCTTGAATACCAAGAAGTACTCTGCATTAAATTTTGACCGAGAATTTAGGCAAATGAAAGATCTGTGCGCGGTTTGTACTCTACGCGCTGTCAGGTGATGAAAAACATGCCAGAGTGGAACACTGAAAAGACATGTTACGGTCGGCCTAAAGTGATACAAAATTTACAAAATCAATTGTTACTGGTGATAAGACAAGGCGTTTTCAATATGAGCCTATCACAAATCAGCAGATTGCAGCATGGTTGAGCCCAAAGAAGCCAGCCGAAACAAAGAAAGTGTGCATGCAAAAGAGCCGAGTAATCACTCACAAGGAATTTCTGCCAGAAGGTCAAACAGTGGATTCTGATTATCATCTCGGAGTCCTCCTTCGTTTATGGGCGAGAATTCTTCGAATTCAACCTGAATATCGAAAGCAAGGTTCCTGGTCACTCCTTCACGACAATGCTCCACCCCACAAATCAAAGATCATGCACGATTTTTTGGCCACAAAAGGGATCACAGTCCTTTATCATCCTCCATATTCACCAGATTTCGCTCCAGCAGATTTCTGGTTGTTCCCAAAAGTTAATTTGGCAATGAAAGCAGACCATCACGACACCATCCAGGAGATTCAAAGGGAATCTACAGCAGTTTTAAATGCAATTCCACAAAAGGAGTACAGTGACCGTTTTCGAAAACTTTTCAATCAATTCCAGCTATGTACCGATTCAAATGGAGACTATTTTGAATAAAAAGAGTGAAATTTTGAAAAGAATTCACGTCTTGTATTTTTAATGAACACAGTCCTAACAGAACCTGGACACACTGTGTACATTCCTGTTCAGGTTTTTAAAAACTGTTCTGAACCATGGCCGAAGAACTGGGAACATTGTAAAGAACTGGAGGGACTTTATTTTGAAAAATGTTGGTCTACTAATATCTGCAGCTTTTTAGAATACATTTTTAAAAAATCGTCTAAAAACTTATTTGCCCGACCTTGTATACTCATACACATATATACATAAATGTATCTGAAAATTTTGCATACACACTCACCAGAATCAAAGTCTGAGCTTCCGCCAGTTTCCAGACCTCCCGCCTGACCATGATATTTACCTGTGAAACAAAAAGTTACATTGTCAAAATGAGTCACACAGATTCCACTGTCCTTCATCATCAGACATAAAAAATGTATTACGGTCTCTGAAAATCTTGTGCCCATAGTATGGAAAGTCAATAAATACTAGCAGTAAAAGGTAAAAGATAAAGGTATCCCTGTAACAGGCCGTGAAGGCCTATAGGTTTTTGAGATGTAGAGGCTCCCACATTTTCTCTAGACAACCAGCTCACAGATGGTGGTAAGGTTGTCAGCCTAATTCGCCAGCCGCCCCTTGCCCCCAGGAAGATTCCTGGTAATCATTTCTCTTAGAGGTTGAGTCGACCCCAGGGCCATGGTGCACCTGGAATGATTAGGTAAACTGAAAAATTTCACTTCATCGGGACTCGAACCCACGACCTTCAGGACCTCAACCAACCACATTATTGTGTGCACCAAAAATACTAGCAATAGTTAAAAAAGAAGAAAAACTATCCCTGTAACAGGCCTAGGAAGCCCATAGGGTTGTGAGACCTTGAGGCTCCCACATTATATAGACAATCGGCTCAAAGATGGCAGTGAGGTTGTCAGCCTTACGTGCCTGCTGCACTTTACCCCCAAGGAAAATTCCTGGTACTCATTTCTGTTAGAGGCTGAATCGACCCCATGTCAGCAATAGTTTTACATTATTAAAATATAATCACAATGATGCTGATGAATCAACTGATGCACATGAACAACAACTGCACGTAATAACCACCTTAAGTCATTCAACTGCAAAAAATCTAATAACCATAGAATCACGCTGTTTCCTTCTAGATCAATTAGTAACAAAGTATGAAATTTTGGTAGACATGTAGTGTACAGGACTTTTCAAAGTTTACCAAATTTCTCAAGGGCTAAAGATGAAATCTTTCTTCAAATCTACAAAAATAAGAGCCTAGGATGTAAGAAATAGAAGGCAGTCACAAAACTGGTTGCGGGTCACACTGCAGTCTCAACCTCTGCCAGAAAATAAAATCCCATTGCTAATAAAATATATCTTCAGTGAAATCATGATTTAATGTATATAAGTGTAGATCAACAGAGAAGGTTATCTGTGGAAACTGCGGCTAGGGTGGGAATTGCATATTTCAAGGGTTCCTGTATTTGAGCATAGAGAAGATCATGTGTCTGTGTATTAAGAGTTATAGGACTGAACACTGGGCAGCAATGAATTTCTGACAGCAAATTTCCATTGCTGATAATGTGCTTAAACAATGACTTCATGATGTAATGTTTACAGGATTGTGCCACTGGTGGGCTCATCTGTGAAAACTGTTTATTTTGAAATATTTGTATACAACTGGGTGGTGAAAAGCAGTAGTGTGCAGTATGTATACAATGATGGGGAAATTTTTTTTTAACTTTTGTTGCATCTGATGTCATTCACAAAGTGCATGTTAAATCAAGAAACCCTTACAAACTCTACATGGGGAAAAATGGTGGGTACAGTGGTAAAGTGGAAATAATAGCTACTATTTAAATTTCTAATGTGTCTGCCAGTATTATCAGGGCAGTGGCAGAAGAAATATTAAAATGTAAGTTAGATTTTGCGGGATTACAGGAGGTCAGATGGGACGGAGGTGGCATCGCACCAGCAGGAGACTATACATTTTTCTATTGAAAGGGGAATGAAAATCATAAATTGGGTACAGGTTTTTTCATACATAAGAGAATTATCAGCAGTTACGAGGGTAGAGTTCGTTAGTGATAGGATATCATATACAGGTATAATACTAAGAGGTCGCTGGTGTGATATAATTGTTACGAATGTTCACACCCCACACAAGATAAAATTGATGACTTAAAGATAGACTATATGAAGAACTGGAACATGTAGTTGATAAATTCCTGAAGTAACCTATGAAAATTTTGTTAGGAGATTATCATATTAAAGACAAATACAAGGAAGGAAATTTTATCAAATTTTATAAATTTCCGAACTCTAAGCAATTTCCAAATTTATCTCCATTTTTGGGACAACATATCTGTGTGAACAAACTTTTTCCCAGATGAAGTACATCAAGTCGAAATACAGGGCAAATTTATCCAATGAATATTTTTAAAGTCGCTACTTATGATTAGCGTTTCAAAATTTGAACCTCAACTTAATCAGATTTTAAGAATGCAAAAAGAGTTCCATCATTCATATACCTAGAGTTATTAATTTCTAATTTTATCCGGCCCATTGAAAGTGCTGAATTACCTAACGTGGCCCACAGTTTGAAAAGTTTGAAGACCCCTGCTTTAGAATATGCCATTAGGAAGGCTCAGGAAAAGCAGGTGGAAGTGAAATCATTTGGAACAAATCAGCTGTTGGTCCGTGCCGATGATCTGAATCTATTAGGTGATAATATAGAAGCCATACAGAGAAACATAAAAACTTTAATTGACGCAAGTACAGAGGTTAGTCTAGAAGTAAACACAGAGAAATCTAAGTATATGTTGCTGTCTCATCACCAAAAATGTGGAGCAAAATCATGACATAAAGATAGGAAATAGATTTTTTGAAAATGTGGCAGAGTTCAGATATCTGGGAACAATGATAACGGATCGAAACCTGATTCAGGAGGAAATTAAGAAGGGATTGAACTAGGGTAATGATTGCTACTGTACTGCCGTAGCGACTAGGGGTGGGTAGTTACACAATACTTCTACACTCCGCCAGCCAACTCTCTTTGGCTATTCCCACCGCTGTCTCCAAATTGTACAGTTCCAGGGGAGGGGGCTCGGGAAATTTATTATACACTGACGTAGCTGCCGCCTTGGCTTGAGTTTGCAATTCTCCTAAAGGATTTGGGGAGATGCAGGAGCATTCAGGGAGGATGGTAACACTTGAGGCTGACTTCTGCTGATTATGATAAAATGGTAACACAATATGAGAGATAAAATTTCTAGTAAACATGGTTCGGGTATTGGACAGAGTAGCCAACCATATCCAGGAGACACTATTAGTTGGCAATGAGTTAAGAGTTGTTAACATGCATATATCACACACTATTGCAAAATCCAGTACAAACTTCCTTCAGTAACACAGCAGCATTTACGATCAGAAACTCCCTTAGATTTGACGATATATCTAATGCATGCAATGGTAGTACTGTCACTGCATGCACTCAGACAGACCATACTTTTGGGCAAAGAAAGAGTGCACATTTCAAGCTTCAAGCAGACAGGCATAATGACAGTTACTGACAAGTTCCAGTTTTTGTTGGGAAACATCATAGTGAGCATATAGTCTCATGAAGGAAAGCTTATGAACCCAGGTTCCATCATACAAAACCAACAGAGAGCTAAATGTCATGAGTGCTTGGCAGGAAGACACAAAGTCATACACAGGGGTGCACCAGCAACTGCCACTGATGCAGCACATGTGGAATGTTTCTGCAGTGGTAGAAGGAAGACATAGCATTTTTGTGTATACTTGCAGTACAAGTAGGAAATCCATCACAAAGTTTTCAATCCTTGTCAAACACCTGAAAAAGCAGGTCTGTACAAACTTCTTTTCAGATATGCTGAAGAAATATCAGCATTTTATGCGCACTGTTAATGTCAAAAAGAAAGAGGAGACATCTCTTTGAATGATGGGTGCTCTAGAAGCGAAGCATGTCATATTTTTTCCATTTAGAGAGTTGTGCTTGACAATCCTTTGCTACATGTTGACTTAGAAACAAAGAGAACTGCCAGAATATTCTGTTACGAGGGTAAGTCTGAAATTATCCGCACTTTCTCCATAACACATCTTTAGATTTGTCACACTGCCTCCTACGCATACATTGTTAGAGTTGGTACTACTGTGGTCACGTGATCGAAGTTTTACCTTGATCGCATCATTTTCCTTGATATTGTGACAGTGTAAACATGGTCGCTCTGCTAGCAGTGTGCACCAATGATTAACAAAGAATAGTGATCTGATTTTTCTGGTTGGAAGGTGTGTCAGGGGCTGAAATTCATATGTGGGTTCATCACTATGAGCCAGAATCCAAAAGCCAGAGTATGGCGTGGAAACACCCAGGATCGCAAACGAAGATGAAATTCAAGACTCAATCTTTCGTGGGAAAGGTGATGCTAACCGTTTTTTGGGACTCAAAAAGGCCTATACTGGAAGACTACCTGGAAAAAGGGTGTACGATCAACAGTGCAAGATACAGTGATTTGCTGGCCAACAGTCTGAAGGCAGCAATTCGCACCAAACGCTGAGGCCTACTGTCGAAGAAAGTGCTGTTGTTGCATGACAATGAACACTCACACAAGGCCAGCCAGACCGTTGAAACCATTATCCATGTGTGTTTCGAGGTGCTGGAACACCCTGCCTACAGCCCAGATCTTGCCCTTTCCGACTATCATCTCTTTGGACCCCTCAAAGATGTTTTACAAGGTTTTTGATTTTCTACGGACAAAGAAGTGGGGGAAGCGGTGCACAGATGGTTGCACGACCAACCAAAAACCTTCTTCGTGGAGGGAATACGCAAGCTTTTGGACCGCTGGACCAAGTGCATCGAAAAGGGAGGAGACTATGTAGAAAAATGAAGTACTTGTTCAACCCCCTACTTTTGTATATATGGATTGGAAAAACAAGAGTGCGGATAATTTTTGACTTACCTACGTATTTTTCTCCACACCAACATAGCATCATATTGCCTGACTGGGTCCGGGAAGTGCCGATATATAATTTCCCAAACCCACTAGGTGAAAAACCACTTCTAGAACAATGGTCTGAACCTACAGATTCCATCAACAAAGTTGTTACAGCACATTATTCTGTTTCACTACATACAGTTAGTGCCCTGACTGACTGACTGACTGACTGACTGACTGACTGACTGCTTTACCAACAAATTACCCTTCACAGGAATCAAAATGAGTGGAGGAAGGACACACAAATGCTGCAACATATCGTTCCTACTAATTTGTTGTATCTATGGCATGTACTGACCTTCTACAATTTTGCTTCTAGATATATAGCTGAGTTATGAAA